TTCGCGCGCGTGGACATCAGATCGCATGATTGGAAATGTGCTTAAACAGAGCGGCCCGTACGGGCGCCGTAACCTGGTTTGTGTGTGTGGTGTTCCTCAGAAATTTTGGCCAGCAACCGAGCATGTGGTTGTGCGTTTCAAGGCTGGACCATAAACGTAGATATTACCTTATGTGATAATGGGTGCGGTGCCAGTACCTGGGGATGTCTCAGACTCCTGGCATTCTCTTTTGCAGCCGTTGAGGGCGGAGCTTATCTGAGCATTTTGGGGTATGTCACCAGACCTTTTGAAATTCAATGCATCTTTACAGAGCCTCTTCTGAAGCATGAATCATAATCCTACACTACACAATCTCAGTCTGGATCATTACCGATGGCAGCATCCAAGTCCCTTCAACATTTGCGGGCTGGTGTCTCTAGTTCAGAAAGTTTGTTATGTGCGTTTTTGGGGCCACCGAGGCGTAACCCTCAACCTGAAACCCCATTCCTCAAACCCCAAACCACAAATACCAATCCCTGAATCCGTCAGCAGGATATCTTGCATCAATCCCTAAATCGCCAAAACTCAAACCCATCTTGTGTTCCTGAACAATCCCAGGCCCAGCGAGACATGGACAACGATAGCGAGGTGTTGGGCTCGCTCATGACGGCAAGTGATTGGGTGATTGGTTATATATTACGGTAGGACGAAAGTTCGACCCACTTGTTATTTGAGACCTACACTACAAGCAGACCCCTTCTTCCCCATAGACTCCTCCACTGAACACCATGGGGACTCCGCTGGAAGCTTATAATAGTATAGATTTAAACAGGGCAATAATTGACTCCGCAACATGGCCCATACTACGCACTGTCTTTCTGCATGTTGGTCCTCCTCTTGAGCCCCGAGGCCCCGATAGGTCGAAACTTTATTCCTGGCGATGTAGAGATGTACAGGGTTTATGGGGTTATATAGGGATGATGCAAAAGAGAAATTGGAAGCTACTATTTTGGGTTCAGGGTTTCCCAAAATTAGGGGTACACGCTGAATGTCCGCCCAGGGCAGTGATCGCGATGCCCTGCCTCCGCCGGCCAACGAAGAAGAGATCGCAGAAGCTCGGGAGATTTTCAAGAAAGCCCAGGCCGTGGCCGGGGGCAGGGGATGTAGGGGTTATATGGGGGATATGTGGGGGTTCTATAGGTATAGGTTATATATTGGGGATGTGTTGGGATAATGGAAAAGCAAATGGAGACAACTATTCAGGGATTAGGGCTCGGGGGATGTTTGTCAAAACATCCCCTGTAGAATCCTTAGTAGGCATTTCCACAATGTTTTCTGGCATCTTATCTATCCCTACAGTGTAGGGTCCCTAAGTTGGGTGTACCTCTCTGGTTATTTGCATGGTGACCTAAACCCTAACCCTTGTAATGTAGTAGTTTCCATTTTCTTTTCCAGTATTACATATCATCCCATATATAACCCTTATAATGTAGTAGTGTCCATTTTGTTTTCCACTATCCGTATATATACCCATTGCAGGGATCCCAGTATTGAAGAGGATGTGAGGGTTGGCCGTCTGGAGTTACTTTCTGACTTTGTATGGAATGTGCTAGGTAGAGCAGTTCAGTCGAGTTCTCTTCGCTGAGTAAGGTTGTTCGATGGCTGGAAACAAAATCCAGTGATTACGCCTTGCCCCCAAGAGGAATCATTTTCAAGGCCCCATGCCTTAACCAAGTTCACATGAATCCCAGGTTTTAAGTAAGGCGTGGTGGAATGGATCCGTATCTAGCCCCTAGAGAATCCATTTCTTTTGCATCCTTCAGTTGCGACTTACAACCATCAAGATGACAATGCCAGAAGGGTAGGCGGCGGGTGGGCTTCCTTGTGCAAGCATTGCTCGGGACTTGCTTTCCTTGAAAGGCAGACTATCAGGGGAATATACGGAAACCTGGATCCAAAATCCAGTTGGGGTACCGCTTTAGGATTCTTCAACCTGCCCTTTACTGGCTTCTGTCCCGCAAATGGGGGTTTTGCAGGAAGATCTCAAGGAGCGCAACCGGATGAAGGCCGCGATGGATTTTTGCTCATTTGCTGTCAATGCACTTGAAAGAAATTACTGCTAGTATCCTGTACTACAAATCAATATTCTGGTCACTTGATTTGCTGTGAACCCTAAACCCTATTGTTCGGGGCTTGGGATCTCCTTTTGCAGACTGAATTCCAGGATCGTAGGATTTTTGCCCGCAAAGGCGGTATCACGGACAAGAACGCCCTTTACACATCTCATGTAGGCCCTGTACGTACGCCTTTCTCACTTTCCCAAAACCGCCCTTCACCCTAAACCCTTCACCTCCTTTAAACTAACATGGAAGCCCAAAATGCACCCAACACGGGTCACTGTCCTTTGAAAAGGGGACCACATCAGCTTCCGATTCTGTTCAGGATTCAAGGGGTACAATCTAAAGGATCCAACCTAGCATCTTGATGTTTTTGAGTATATGGTACTGCAGTTTTGTCACAAATAGACAGAGGCCCCAGTATAGATCCCAAAGTATTATTCTCCTTAATATGGCAGCCCCCCAGAAAGGAGCTATGATATTGGGGAACCCTAAACCCTAAATAGTGTAGCTTCCATTTTCTTTTCCATTATCCCTATATAACCTCATAAGACCCTACATATCCCTATATAACCCTATAAAGGTTGGGGTGGAAAGCAAGATGTAGGCGCCAGAAGAGTCGCAGCAACTTCTTCCCACGGATGTTGAACACCTAGGGTTAGAGTTTAGGGCTTCCCACCCCCGAAACCCTAAACCCTAAAATCAAATAGCCTTTGCGGAGGCTCTTTGAATGTCAGAAATGGGGTGCCATGGCACTTATTTGAACGTCAGAATATGTATGCAAACATACACAAGGATACAACAACCAGCATCAGGCTCCAGGCATGCCTGGAAGGAATGTGCAGCGATAGGGGGGATCGCTTCCACCTAAGGTTCAGAAACCCAGGGTTCCTGAAAAGATTTGGGTCCCTTCAGCAAATGGTCCTAGAAATGTTGCATCCTTCCAACTTGATCCCTATATCTCTGTATCACCGCTTACCCTTAAACCCTATTGTAAATCCAGGTCCCTTCCTACGTTACAATCCTGTTTTAAACCTGCACAAGCCCAGTTTCCATTTCATTTCCCATTTCTGTTTTCACATTTCAATGACCCGCTAGCCATCAACCTCATGTATCCCTGTATCAACTGATATATCCCCGGAAGATACCCCTACATCCCCGTCCAAATACCTATTTATCCCCGTTATGCAGGAGCTTGTCAAGGATGCCAACCAAAGCGATCTCCAGGCCTAGGGTTTAGGGTTTCTGGGGTTGCTGGAGTTTTGGGGGCTTAGGGTTCACTAGTTTAGGGTTATTTGGGGTTTAGAGGGCTAAGAATTCGGACCCCTGTCTCGACACCACAGGGAGGTTCATGGGTAGTTAGTTACAAATCCATAGCCAGAATCAGGGGTATGACTGCATGACTGCTGTGGCCACTGAGGGGAGTATCCGAAGGTGGAATTCCCAAATGCTCTATAACGATGGCCGTTCTTCTCAACCGGGGGGGGACGAGATGCTATGTTTTTTTTGGTTTTTTGTGTGGGCAAACTATCCAAAGGGCACTGGTTATGTGCGCATGGTGAGCTTAAAATAGAAGGACACAGAAACCAAAGCAAGTTAATTCCATTTGGGTACGTGCTGCTGCCTCTTCGAGCAGTACTACTACGACGACGACGACGACTACTACTGCTGCTACTCCTCCTGCTGCCGCTGCTGCTGCCGCTGCTGCCGCTGCTGCCGCTGCTGCTGCTGCTGCTGCTGCTGCTATTACTGCGATTGCTCCTGTCATTCCTACTTCTCTTATTAATCTCCTCATTGTTACTACTATTAACCTACCATTTCTAATGTTGTCATCCTTATAATAGTACTACTACTCCACATTAACCTTAAACCCTGAGGCCCGTTTCTATCACCATCACTGCAGGCCATGATAAACGCCCGGCTTGCCAAGCGGTGAGGGCACACAGCGGCTTGCATCCCAGCATGCGCTTTGGGTGTAGGACGGGCATCCCACATTTTAGTAACATGGATCCTATAAAATCCCTAAACCCTAAGCTCCCATAATCCCCCTAGAGTCCCTGAAAAGCCCCGGCATCTTCTGGGGAGCCCCTCGCTTTGAGAAACTTCCATATGAGAGTTTCTCAAACATGTCGCTTGTATAGTCCTTAATCGAGACCCGTGGAATCTTGCTTTAGTCCCGATCTATCCCTTGGGTCCCCAAAGTACCCCTGATTCGAGAAACCGCCATGGGGCCATGGGTGTGTCTCAAAAGTAGGGGCAACTAACCCTAAGGACCCCAAGGATGTATAGGGATTGTAAGGAAGGTATAGGCATCCTTCCTGTCCAAGGGGTTTGAGAAACCCCATATGACCCATATGACGTCAGCTTTTGAAAGCAATCCTTGTGTCATCTTTGACAATGCCCCCTAGAATTCTCTCTGTGCTGGCATGTCAGTTGGCCATTTTGGAGAGAGTGCCGTATTCGCAGTGTCTAAACTCAAGGATATCCTTCTGCTGCCCACTGCCCCCGACCAAACCAAAAACCAACATAAAATCCCAATCCGGGCCCGAACAGTATTGCTGTTAATTAGGACGTGGGTTCCACCCTTGCTGGGGGAGTAGATGTTTTGCCCTGGCCGAGTCTGAGGCTTGGAAGGCAGGTGCCGCATGTCTTGGCAGCTCCAGGTGGCAAGCTCAGCATGCTCTTGGGGTTCTCAAAATTGGGGTCCCTTTCAGGGTTCCCCATCTCTCATTTTCAGTGGTGGTGATACCCGAATTCTTGAGAAAACGCATTTCCGGATGTGCCAGAGTTGAGATTCACTTGGTGGATAGGCGCGCGTACCCGATGTTCATTCCTTAAGCAAAACTATGGCTGCTTTTCGTGGGCGTCCTGATGATATCGATTTGAATGCATGGGGGGTATAGAGAGGGGACCCTTGTTTGTGGTAATGGCCCATGCTGCAGCAGCGCCCGTGGCACATGTGACGCCCCTCAGGACTGGCACTGCAAAGATCGTCGTACACTGACCGGTGATTGCCGTTACCTGTGGGCCGGAGAAGCCATCCACAAAAGTCTTGATTTGCATCCACTTCCAATACCAGGGACCTTCACTATAGTCTGATCTGGCAATTACGAAGCTGCAGGCAAAGAGTCATAGATGTGTTGCTGTTGCTGAGAAGGAACGCGGAAGCGTACGCGGAAGCGGATGCACCTGTGATGCTGAATTCTCAGCAGGTTGATAACGGATGCACAATGAACGAAGTTTCGATACTGGACAGACATGCAACGACAAGTTGCGTTCGAGAAAAAAAGAGCCAGACTTTCGTCTTTGACAGTCAGGTTCGCTCTTCTTCAGTGATGCCGGGCCGGGTTGCAAACCACGCGGGCATGAAGAGGAGTTCCGTTTTGTGGATGATACCAACTGTGCCACAGGCGGCTGGCTCGGCGTCAACAAGCCAGATCTGCAAGAGCTTTCCGTCCCCATCATCACTGCCACGGTCTCCTGTCCTGAATTCAAGAACCTTTCCAGAAGTCTGTCCGCATCTGTGAACACGGGGATCATTATTGGATTGTTATTTTGTTGTACATTGGTGACTCATTTGCCCTGAGTTTTTGCTTGGGCTTGGGCTCAATGTGTGCCAAAACTGCCGCGCAAGGTAAAGATGTTCTTCCAGATCTCAAAGGACTTCCCGTCCACTGCGCATGGAATGTCATGGTGTAGCTCCTCTTCTCACCTTTATATATAGCATAACATGCCGCAAAATCTTAGTCCCATTCTCTAGGCCCCTTCACTAAACTCTGGGCAAAACATTGTTTCCAAAGCCCTGACCACGCCGAAGGACCTACTGCCAACGCCTGTGAAGTGCCACGGCCACAGCACTGCGCAAGAGTGATCTTTGAAGCTGTAGAAGCTTGAACAATTGATGACATGAATAACTCAGGACATAATTTCCATAGAATAAAATCTTTACGTATATGCTTATATTTTTAAAATACCCTCAAGTCTTGTTCAAAATCAATAGGACTCCATGTTGACATTGTGGAGCCCTCATCCGTTTTATGAGGCATCTTGAGATCTAAGGGCTTAAGGTTTATATAGGCTTTAGGGTTTAGGGTTTAAGCCTTTTGGTTTAGGGTTCAGAGTTTAGGGTTTGTAGAATCCTTTAGGCTACAAGTCCTAGGCGATGGCGAAGATCGTGTAGGGCCTTGAGGTTAGTGATCCTAGAGCCTCTAGTTGGTGGAAATCCTTTAGCCTGTATGGTGCACTCAGTCTCATGAAGGGTTTTGTTCATTTCCTAAACCCTAAGAACAAAACCCTAAACCTAAAACCCTAAACCCCAAAATCCCAAACCCTAAACCTCAAAACCCTAAGATCGTGGTCCACTTCCTCGGTTGGCATGGGTGGACCACGAAGTAGGGTCCTTTTCAGTTTTGTAGTGTTAGGGGTACAGATAGTAACAGGACCTATGCTATTTTGAATGATTTAAAGGGTCCTTCAGTTTGAAAAGCAGCCAAGATAGATCATATTGCATTATTAAGGTTGTAAGCAGGAATGATCCTGCGATTGTAAGGAAGAACCCTGAGCCTTAAAATCTAAACCTGAACCCCTAAACCTTGAACCCCAAATCCTAAACCCTAAACCCTAAATCCTAAACTCTAAACCCTCAGATCTTCAGGTCATTACACCTTCAACCTGCGAGATCCTGCGAAGATGGTGCAGGGCATGCTGATGGTCGATGTCAAGTCCTCTCTGAAGAACGACAAGGAAGTCATGGGTGAAGTCTTGGCTCCACTTGTGAAAGTGTAATGATGTTAGGTCTTCTGTAAACTATGGCAAGAGAATCATGTTGTCTCCATCTTGCATGTATCAGGCTATTTTTTGAGCAGTAATGCTGTACCAGTGTTGAGCATGCAGCATGCCACTTGTTGCACCCATCTGCACAGGACCTCATCGACCTTTTCTTGCATGAAAGCTGCCGCGTCTTCCGAGAGCCTTGACAGCATGAAACCTCGCATGTTGGGACAAAGCTGCCAGGACAAAGCCGTCAGCTGGCTTTTTTTCCTTTTTACACTGGGCCGCGTGGTCTTTGTACTCGATGTGTTCACGTTGATAAAGATTTGCAAGCTGCTACATCCTGTACCTGAGGCCCAAGATTTTAATTCGCGGCTAAGCTGTGCCCGCAAAATTCGCAAGCTGTATGTAGTCAGTGAAGCTCCGCGAACTTGAAACCGCGCCCAGCAGTACCCACAATGGAGGTGAGCGCTTAAAATCACCATTCCTGTAGCTCTGCTCGAAGAAGAGTTATTTGAAGATGCCAGACATCAGGCTATGGTGCAAGATCTTCTCTACAATCTAATTCGCTCGTCTTAAGGACCGCTTGATTGATGATGATGACCGGGAATGGCTCGTGTCCCAGTACGTCACTCCACCACTGCACCTTTGGCCGTGCTTTGTTGGCTCTATAGGGCAGTCTGCATCTTGAGGTTTAACTCCATGATCTCGGACAAGATGAATGCTGAAATTGCTGGATCTGCGAAGATAGATCAGCTTGGCACCGAGCCATGCTGTGCTATGCTGGTGCTACAGGGACATGGGGGTTTCCCAAAATGAGGGGTGCCTTTTTGGGGGGTCCCAATAGTATATTGGGGTCTATATTGGGGCCCCACTATTTAGGGAAACTAACACATACACGAACAGTACTGTCGTTACTGTTTCAGGCCTTTCTCCCACCACTGTTGGTGTTAATGTGTCTTGTGAGCGTTCAGTATTCATTCACGGGAGTAGCGCTTTCCCCTTCATAGTCATTGGTAACCTTATGTTAGTTTTGGCAGTCTTGCCAGCACCTTCACTCAGTAGATGTGTAGCTGTGATGTCATTTTGTGTTGCCTGGTGCAAGTCTTGTTGCTATCCATTGTGAGTACGGGGCATATTCTTACCTGCTGCAACAGCCTGTGATCGAAAGCAAAGGTTCAGAGACCTCATCTTTGGCGATTTCCTATCGCGCGGCGGGGCCGCGGGCTCAGTTTCCTCACCTTTGGTCAGCATGTTGGCAATAGTTGTTGATCGTAGTAGTCTGGATAGGCCCCTAGGATATTTGATATTCTCCCTAATGGCTTTAATAAGGGACCCCATATACTAACATTTTTCAAAGGGTTTTAGGGGCCAACCCAGTAGTTATGGTGGGGATGTGGTGGCCGTCATCATCGTGTCCGGCGCAGTGTTGTCGATATGGCGTCGTCGTTGTAGTCGCTGTCGTAGTCATGGTGGTAGTGTAGTGGTCGTAATAGCAGTGGTAGTAGCAAAAGCGGGAGTAGTTGCATCAATAGCATGAGTAGCAGCATCCATGGCAATCGCTGTAGCAACAACACTAGTCGTTATTATTGCAATTGAAATGCACATGGGAGTGCTGGCCGTGCTCTTGATGGGTAAAACACAAAAAACAGATGAACGCATAGCAACAGAAGTTCTGGCGTAGGATGTGTTGCTTGTAGGTGTTATGGTTTCAACAGCGCTGTAATACAAGGAAAACCAACCGCAGTTGCGTGTGGATTCCTAGCCCGTGGAAAAATGGTTTGGAATGGGCGGTAGATTGGTTTGCAGAAGCCGGGGGTTTAGGGTTTAGGACTTAGGCATAGAAGCTGCAGTCTTGAGACTCCGAACTGTCGAATCCTGAAACTTTGAATATCCCCGCACACTCAATACCCTTGGCCCTGAAGCCTGAAACCCAAAAGCTCCAACATCTTGCCTGAGGATATCAATCCGTACCAGAAGGCAGACAGTGAAGATAAGTGTGTGAGCATCTTCCAAGAGATGCTGGATGACTACAACAACCTCATGCCCACCAAGCCTCTCGGCGGGTTTAGGGTTTAGGCTTTGA